AAGTTGTACTTAGAGTTTTAATAATTCTTAAAATAGAGACAAGTGAGTTAGGTAGAGACTTAGCTTTAGCGATACATTTTTAACGTAAAGTATACATATGTTTAATAAAGCACACATACCTAGCCTGACAGAGGGTATAAAAAAAAAAAATAACAATAATTTAGTTTTTTTTCAATCAATATAAATTTCTTTTATTATTATATTATCTAAATTTTATAAACTTGTTATTTTATTTTTTATAATTTGATTTATTTTTTAAATTTTTAATAATTTTTATAAATAAGTTATAATATTAATTATATTTTTCTACTTTTATATTAATATTTTTAATAATATAGATGTTTGTTTTTTAAAATTTTTATTATAAATTTTTTATTATAAATAAATAGAGTTTTCAAAGTTTAAAAATTAAATTAATAAATATAAAATAGTTTATTAAAAACTTTATTAGATATATTTATATAAATTAATTAACATATTGCAACTTGAAATTATTTTTAAATTTATGATATTTTTATTAATAACAAAATATAATTAAAATTCAGATTTTTATTAACTTTTAAATTGAAATAATATTATTGATTTTATATTATTTAACATAAATTTTAATTTAACTATACTATATATAATATATACTGTATTTAGGGACATGACTTTTCATGTTTTTTGATCAATTAAAAATTCAAAGGTTTAAAAGTTAGAATAGAATATTGGATACATTGAGTTAAAAATCTTGGTAACATTAATATCCTTTCAATCAATAAAAAGTAAGGATAATATTTGTCACCAATCTTAATACAGTGTGTTATCCTTACCTAATTCTAGACCCTAATTTCAGTTCCTACTAACCTTAACCCTAATCCTTTCTATATTACAGTAATATTTATATCAATTATTTTAAAATGTATATATAGTATAATATAATAAATAGAAAACATGCAATGATAATAAAGAAAAAATATAGTAGAGTTCAAATGATGGTGGTGGTGATAGAGCTCAAGTAGGTAGTAATAGAGCTTAAGTAGGTGGTGATAGAGCTTAAGTGGTAGTAATAGAGTTCAAGTGGTATAGGGCTCGAGTGGTAGTGATAGAGCTCAAGTGATGGTGATAGAGCTCAAGTGGTGGTGGTAGAGTTCGAGTGGTGGTGGTAGGGCTCAAGTGATAGTAAGGCTCGAGTAATAGTGGTAGAGCTCAAGTGATGGTAGTAAAGTTTGAGTAGTGGTGGTAGAGTTTGAGTGGTGGGCTCGAGTAGTAGTGGTAGAGTTCGAATGGTGGTAGGGTTTGAGTGATGGTGGTAGGACTCAAGTAATGGTGATAAGGCTTGAGTGGTAGTGGTAGGGTTCAAGTGATGGTGGTAAGGCTCAAGTGGTAGTAATAGGGCTCGAGTGGTAGTGGTAGAGCTCAAGTGGTGATGGTAGAGCTCGAGTGGTAATAATAGAGTTCAAGTAATGATAAAGCTCATGGTGATGATAGAGTTTGAGTTATGGTGGTAGAGATTGAGTAGTGGTGGTGATAGAGAGAGTAAAAAGAGTAAAGAAATAGAGAAAATGTTGACCATGTAGAAAGTATCGAAAATGTAGAAAGTATCAAAAATTTAGTACGTGTCAAAAATGCTAAAAATGTAGAAAGTGTCGAAAGTATAAAAAGTGTTGAAAATGTAAAGGGTGTAAAGAGTATTGGAGAGTGTTGTGTCAAAAGTATAGAGTGTGTTGAAAGTGTAAAGTATCGAAAGTGAAGTGTAAAGAGTATGGAAAAAAAAATGTGAGTTGGTTTATGGGTTCTTTTATAATTCTGGTTTTATTATAATGCATTTGAACTTGCTTAATAATAAGTATGTGAAAATAACTCGTGAAAATAACAATGTGTTTAATATACAATTCTTGAGTTTTGTTAACATTGACACTTGTAATCTTTCTATTTTTGAAATAATTAAATAATGACTTCAAGGATTTCACAAACTTTTTTTTTTAGATAATCTATCTTTGTATCTTTGTTTACATGAGATGAAATTCATGTAAAGATTGAATATTCAGATATCAAATATAAAAGAAATATTAGGATATATGGATATAACTAACATGTATAAAAATGATTAAGCATGAAAAGAATTTAAAAATAATTCTCCTTTAACTAATCTTTTTTTAACCAAATAGTTAGTGTGTTTCATTTGATTCTCGAAATAGCTATCTATCTATCGTGCGAAAAATTTAGGAAATATTTAATCCAGTTACCCGATTTGGATTAATTAGTAAAGATCTCAACCTTTTATAGTTACATCACATCATCTACTGCGAATAAAGCTCGTGATTTTTCAAAACGTGAAATGATTATTCGAGTTCTGAAATTTGTGATCATGATATGAAATTGGGAAAGATTGTACAAATGAGGTAGAATTCTTAAAGAAATTACAAGTTGTGGTAACGAACTGCTAACAGGCTGCTGAATGCAAATTGGAGATGGTTAAGTTTACTCTAGAGATAATTTACTATATACAGTATATATTTGCAGAGATTCTTTAAAAAAACTTTTTTATCATGATTAATAAGCATGTGTTTATTGTATATCTAAAGAAAATTGCTATGAGCGGTATTCATGATGTGTAAATATGCACAACAAAGAAATTGAGGATAACCTTTTAATTCGTCATGCACAGATCGCATTGGAGTGGATTCATTCGTGAGTAGGAATTTATTTTTCAGATGTGTTCACTCAAAAATTATTATTGAATCATTTATTCCTGTAGATTATTAAGAACTTATATATATGAAGTGAAGATTAGAAGCAGTTATCACCTTCGAGGCAGGCTTAGGATCCAACTATGTCCTCCCTAGTATGAAAAAACTTCAATTCATATCTTCTTGGGTGTGATCAGTAATCATATGTGATGTGTAAAAGTTTCGGTAGACTTTCATGGTTTTCTTATCAAAGTATGTCTGTATATTTAGAATTGTCGAACTTTACTACAAGCATTCACCTACTACAGTATCAACAATGATCACATGCCAGCAGAATCAGTAACACTGCCTTCTCGACCAGAGAGCCCAGAAAACTCGGAAAATTTTGAGCCAGAGATAGAGGAAGAAAATAATGAGACTTTCTATTGCCAGGGGCCAAAGCTGAGAATGTGGCCGAATATACAGTATGTATAAAATTCGTGATGATAGTGTAAGACCAAAGCAATTTCTTGGTATAGATTCTGAAGATGGGATAGAGGTAATACTCACAGAACGTACAGGCCATTCATTACATGAATATATTGACAGAGATAGCTCAGTTCGTCCCTTTATGAATTTTGATTTACCTTAAGAAAAATTAAATAAAATCGATCCACAATCTACACATAGAGAGGTGAAAGATATACTTGCTCGAGCCTTTAAAGAGGTGTGTCTAGAAAGATATCCAGACTGGGACAAAACTACTTTGACTATTGCTGATAGTAGTGACCCGAAAAAAAAGTCTTTATATCTCAACTTTCGGTATGAGATTTAAAAATATAAGTTATTTACTGAACTTGTTCGTAAGAAATTCCCAGTGGGTTTACAGAGCAAAGATATTGTTGATAATACTGCGAGTAAGAGTTCGTTTTCTTTGCGAATGCTTGGAACCCCAAAAATATAATGTAATAAAACTGGTAAAAAAAAACCTATAATATGTCTTTGTCTTTAATTTTATGCTTCGCCCACCTAATGACGAGACGCCAGTTATAGTTAATTCTCTCTTATCTATCTCAGAGCATGTAGCAACAAAAATTTCTAACACATGTACTGGAATTACTGAGGCTATTGAAATAGAAAACAATTTGGTTGTAAAATTATTAGAAGAATTCGAAATTGGAGGATACTAAACGGGTGACTCCAACATTTTGCCCATTATGTTATCAAGAATATGGTTATAAAGATCCACATACAAACGATAATGAATATGTTATCCGAAACAAGAAATCGTATAACTTCTATTGTCATCGTGCGAATAATAATAGGGAAGCTGGATCTAGAAAACCTTCAATAAAGTTGACCATTAAAGAAAAAGCTTTGGAACAAGAGGAAAGCCTTCCTGACCTAGAATAATAGATTCAAATGATTGTTTCGTATGGGTAACTTAATTGACATGTGCATTAGGAGAAAAGTATACCCGTAATAAAGTTTACGAAGCTATCCAAGCAACAATTGCTTAAATTGATAGTGGTAAAAAGTTCTGGATATTTAAAGTTGAATATGAGGATGAAGATGGGGGGGCTCACCTTTGTATTTATACCCAAACTAGAACTTGCTAATTATGAGATATAATCGAATTTGGACGAGGATCAAATAAGATTAAGATCATTAATGGATCGTGCGGTTAAAAAAGGTTTAACTGTTTATCGCAAAATCAACTTTCGACCAAAAACAAATTTCTTTAATCTTTTCCTAGGATTTATAGCAAAACCGCACCGGAAATTAATGAGATTATGGATCCGATTATTTGGCAAGTGAAGAATGTAATTTGTGATGAAAATGAATAGCTTAATAAATATATTTGGAACCGGTGGACATTTTGGTACAAAGACCAGAAAAGAAACCTCATTCAATTTGCGTATTAAAGTCTACTCTCCAACAATGTGGAAAAAATATTTATTGTTGATTTTATTGGTGACAAAGTCTTAGGACCAAAACTCAATTATGCAACATCCGATCTAGGAAAAATTCTTGGAAAGTTCAATAGTCTTATTTAAGGTAAAAAGTTAATAGTTATCTTAAATTCCCTATAACAGAAGGAAAGGTGAGTATAGAACGTAAATGCCTTGAACCTGTTCATTTAAAAGATTTCTCCTCGTTTATGGTAACAAGCAACCAGGACGCCCCCACTCTGTTTTGATGTGTCCGCATGCTGTAGAGGGAATATACCATATTTCAATCGTTTGGTTAAACTACTAGAACATTCTGATGCACCAGGGATAGTTATATTATATCTTCTTAATCGTGATCTTTCAAATTGAAATCCACAAGATATCCCCAATACTAAAATGAAAACGGATATAATACTGTAGCATCCTCCCAATCCCATTCAATTTATAATTGATCTTATTTCATCATGGTCTGAGGATTGAGTTGATATACAAAGTAGTGCGATATTATATCAAGAGTATCGGGCATAGTGAGAAACCATCTAGTAGTAATATATTAGGTAAAAATCTACACAGATTAATGTCGCAACATATCCTTGACCGATCCAAAATCATAGCTAAGTTACATTAATCGGTAGGTGATATCGAGGAATTTTCAGACACACCTCAAGCTGAAATATCCACCAATACATCCACAGAGATCCCTGTATTTAATATACCTGAGATTAAAACTTCCGAACCAGAAAAAAAGATATCTGAGTCATCGACCATCGATCACATCAAGAAAGGTACAGTAAGAAGACATTTCCCACTCCATCCATTACTAATATGACCTAAGATCTCTTCGATTATATAATAGATCAATCGGAATCTCAAGTTGCTTCGTCATCCAAGTCTAATAATATATCTTCGCCTCCCGAGATCGTGAATGTAGAACCTGTGGATGATGAAGTTAAACCTGCTTCTGAGATTGTTGAAATCCAACAGCCAATCGAAAACTTATCCGTCTGATTATTTAACCCGGGAGCAACGAGAGAGTCGTTTAAGGCAATGGACTATAAATCATAATGAGGATCCCGATAAATTCGTGACTATTACAGATAAAGACTGATTTAATAGATTATCTCACAAGAATAGATGATGATATGAACAACTGTATCTTTAATATAGAACAAGATAATGATCTCCATGATTTTATGGAATGATAGGAGAAGAAATCTTACGCCGTAGGCCTAGGATCCGCGTACTCCCTCTTTGATAATCCTCAAGTATGTTGATCTTGCAATTTAAATTGGTCAACCATATTTGTGACTACCTTACTTTAACGTGTCCCTTCGAAATTTTCCATGGAGCAATCTTCCAACAAACAAATTCCAAATTACTTCCATTTCAGTGGTCATTCATTGATTTTTTTAGAATAGAGATCTTAAAAACCTTATTTTAAGAGACCGCAATCAAGAATACGGCTTGTTCAAGTCTTTACTTCAAATATTATCTCTGACAACAAAGACAATATTCGCAAACAAGAAGGTGCTATAATTTCTTAATAATTGGCAGGTAAACTTTTTTTTTTTTTGTGTTAGGCACAGTTGATGGGCCAAAAGCCTGTCCTAGTAGCTTTTTGGATCCTCTTGAGTTTCGCACGTGGGCAAAATTGTCCTCTTGAGTCAATTGGCTTTTGTTAGGTTCCCTTGAGTCTATTGCTGTGACACACTAGTGTGTCCTATTGAGTCATCCAGTGTTGTATCCTCTTGAGTTCGTCGCAATCCATCAATATTACTGTGCTATTTATTATGTTTCCTATAATATTAAAGATTGTTTGTTATTAATGATTATGTTAAAATTAACAAGCTTGTAAGAAAATTAAATGTTCCCCAGAAGTCAGGATGTTTTGGAATGATATCAAGACTCAAAAATCACATCAAGATATCGAGTATGCTAAAACTCGTAATGAACTGAAATTGTTTCAAATTGAATCTGAAGATGTAAGAATTTTTTTAATTTTTTTTTTTTTTTTAAACTGGCTCATCCCATGCCTTTTCCCGTGCTTTATTAAGAAAAGATCATATTTAGTAACAATCGGGATGAATACTTTCCCATACTGTCTAAGGATTTACAAATCACTAGAGAGAAATAGAACAGGGAGTTATCTATTTTTATGACTTGATCTACAGTATATCTAACCTAACCAGGATAAGAAAAATACATGATCACCTAGTGTAAATATTTCTCTTTTAAAAACAAAGCGGGGGACTAATGAGATACACAAACTGTGCATTACTTACTCGTCCCCATATTTAGGAATCGACATTATCTAGAGTACACCAATGCACCCACCAATCGGCCTGTTGTCACCCACTATCGGGATCTAACTTACCAAGACTCGCACAAGAGTCCCAACACCATCCAATGTTGAAGGTCTCTTGTACTAGTCTTGCGACTAATCAGTGTTAAAAGAAAAAATTAAAATGAAGGGGGAGGGTTAAAAATATTTACAAGAAAATAAAAAGGGTGAAGGAATGAAGGGATGCCTAACAACTACTCCTCTACCCAACTTTGCCTTTGAAGATACTCGATTCATAGCCTTGATACTTTTGGAGTTAATGAAAAAGAAGAGATCACAGTCCATGTGATGTTTATCCACCTGCACAACTAGCCGGTGACTTATGATGAATCTAAAATTCTTATGGAGCTTAGGAAATGCATTCACGTCCTATGTTACATGTATTCTTGTTTACATTTCTGTTAACCATAGAGCAACCAATCCCAGACTTCAGCCAATCAAACAGTCCAAAATCTGGTGTACCAAAAAATTCAGGGTCAAGCTAAGGTAGGCAAAATTCCTCAGAAAAATCAAGAAAACTGCTACATGCTGAGAGAGAAGCCGTTTTTGCCTATGGTATTGATATCTGCCTACTGGCTGGCATGAAGTTGTTGATCCAAACTTCTTCCTAGACTCTGGGACCTCCATAGAGAAGAGAGGGAGGGTACTTTTTTGTCTGGTTTCTTCTTTCTAGAAAAGCTTTCTTGTTATTAACTTCTTAGGTAAAGGGGTTT